CCTGCTCATTTTTAAATCATTATATTTTATTCTATTCCAGGTATTGATCCATACTTCATCTCATTCCACTTTATACCAGATATCCCTACACCCCACGTTGTTCATTCTCATATCATTACATTCTGATACAGGTATCATGCACCCCTTCCTGTTCAATTACATCGCATTCTAATCTGTACTCCATGCATTCTATCCATTTCATTCCAAAATAATTCCTTTCTTTAGAGGTATCCGTGCATCCTACCCTCTTCAGTTACATTTGATTCCAATGTGTACTCTGATGTCCATGCATTCTGTTTTTTTTTTCATTCCAAAATCATTCCACTCTATACCAAGTAACCGTATACCTTGATCTGTCCATTCCCATTCCATTGCACTCTATACCACGTTTATAATAATCCGTCTCCCAGGGGCAAATAACACTGGTGAGTGGATATGTACGGTAATGTTACATTGAGAGAGGTATGGTGAATGGATACGTATGGTAATGTTACAATGACACATGTATGGTGAGTGGATACGTACGGTAATGTTACATTGAGACAGGTATGGTGAGTGGATACGTACGGTAATGTTACATTGAGAGAGGTATGGTGAGTGGATACGTACGGTAATGTTACATTGAGAGAGGTATGGTGAGTGGATACATGCGGTAATGTTACATTGAGAGAGGTATGGTAAATGGATACGCACGGTAATGTTACAATGACACAAGTATGGTGAATGGATACGTACGGTAATGTTACATTGAGACAGGTATGGGGAGTGGATACGTACGGTAACGTTACATTGAGACAGGTATAGTGAGTGGATACGTACTGTAATGTGAGATTGAGACAGGTATGGTGAATGGATACGTACGGTAATGTTACATTGAGACAGTTATGCTGAGTGGATATGTACGGTAATGTTACATTGAGACAGGTATGGTGAGTGGATACGTACGGTAAAGTTACCTTTAGACAGGTATGGTGAGTGGATACGTACGGTAATGTTACATTGAAACAGGTATGGTGAGTGGATACGTACAGTAATGTTACATTGAGACAGGTATGGTGAGTGGATACGTACGGTAAAGTTACATTGAGACAGGTATGGTGAGTTGAGAAAGTTGAATTGAAAACATTTATAAAAAACTAAAATATGAATTTTCAGTACAATGAAAATTAAATACACGATAGAAGAAAAATAACGGTAAAAACTAAGACCATATTAACTCAAAAAAAATGTTTAAAGTATAACTTGCAAACATTAAACAAATGGGTATTCCTTATTAAACTACGTCCAAGTAACTATCTACTGAGGATTGAAACAGAACGCCATATTCAATTGCCACCAAAGGGATGTCTTCTCTGTAAAACAAATCAGGTAGAAGATGGACAACATGTTGCGATGTGTTGCCCTGCTCAGCCACATTCTCTTTTGAAGGAACAAAGAAACATGCTATTTCAGTCAGTATTTTTATCCAATATTTGAGAATCTATCCCCTCCCCTAGATGTAAATGTTACGCCATGAAGTTCCCAATACTTGGATTTTCCAGTCACGTGCTGTATAACCCACGGTAGAATGACGTCATTTCAAAGGTGCCCGCTAAACCAAACATCCGCTACTGGGTATTACACCACAACATATGATTTTTAGTTGTTTATTTACTAAGTATACTTCCTCAACAAGGGACTACGCATGAAACGACAGCGGGATATTATTATTTCCGATTAACTTAGATTGACCACGTAACTTTTCTTTTAATAGTTTGAAGTGATCATTAACTTGCGCTTTCACAGTCACCGCTTCATGATTCATTTGCTGACACCCACCATCATCATTCCTTACAGATGATTCTAGGTCACTGTGTTTTCACACATATCAATCTGTTTACCAATCGATAGGCCAGTCTTAGGCTAAACCATTTACCGTGGGGAAATTTAGCTTGCCCACTTTCATCATATTCATTGTTGATAACATTAAGTACACTCATAATTTTGAAGAGACGTGAAAAGATGTGTGGCTGGGGAAGTGGAACATGAGATATATTAAAGTGATGGTGTATTAAATCCACAAAATGGTTTGTCTATGCGGTTTCACTCCACCGGTACATAGACTAGTGGTTTGGTCTGATAAGACTGATCACTTTAATCTGACTTCGTGTAGATAACAGTGAACACATCCAAGGTTGATCACAGCAAATTCTTCAGACTAGGCGTTTTAGTTTTTACGATAAATTTATTGTCGAGAAAATGAAAGTATTACTGATCTCTGTTGTACTTCTTCTTTGTTCGCTGGACTCTTTGGCAGTTTATCGTAAACTTTTCTACCACTATGGAGAACGGACTGGCGATCGATTTTTAAATAGGGGTGACGTGGAAAGCGTTGAAATGTACCTGAATTCACCAATCAGTTTCTACAACAACCTTCATTATACAGTATATGTAAGTATTAACATCTTACTTCAACAAACTCATTCTCATTGTTATTATCAAATCAATGTTCTATTTTTTGATATAATTAGTTATGATTGGTGTATGGAGGTGGTTGTGAAGACGCCAGGGAACACGGCGCTGTCCTTGTTTTATATGTACGGCGAAACGTTTGTGTTGATAACAATGCTGGTCGATGACCTTGGAGGTCGAAAAACCCATTGTATGGAAATTACCTGCAACAAAATGCCACAAATACTGTTTTTTCAACTTTGAGCAACCAAGATCGGGTTGAAATAATACATAATAGCGGTGAGCCTGGGTCAGAGGATTGTAAATGCACGCCAGCATTATCTCGCGAGTCTAGTAACGGTGTAATCCTCTACTATACGCATGGGGGGGGGGGGGGTTAATGAACTATGGTACTCCATTAAATTCACACACAAAACTAAAGTGTTTATTCTAATCTAATTATACTAATATATAACATCTGTCCCAAAT